GAATTAATTTCACGTTTATGGATTACCTAACACAAGAAGGTCTGGAATAAAGTGTCATGTCTGAAATCTCTTCAGAAAATAGTGATATCGGGAAATAAATGGCTTCCTTTGGAGTAGGAAATCAGTCAAACAAATTGGTATGCTTTAGAAAATGTTATATATACAATTATTTATACATAACTTCCAGTTAAAACATGTATAACTACAGGGGTCATCAAGTCTTATTCACTCAAAAACATTTAATTTTACGTGGTGCTTATGTTATATAATCGTTAAAAGTCTAAAATATTTGTTTGCTAGAGGCTTGTTCCATTTTCCTGTTTGGGGGGTAAGTGAGGTGGAGCCTCTGCTGCCCCCTCGAGACTGGTGGAGGAACTGCAACTGTCTGTGTCATTTAGAGAAGCAGCTTTCATCTGTAAAACCAGACCCTTTCCCTTGTCCTCCATCTTTTGATGCTGTTCCTGATTTGTCTCATCTTCATCCACATTTTCATTTTCACCTGCCTCCCCCTCCTCTGCTTTTCTCTGTAGTTTTTGCTGATGAAGTCTTAAAATAGAAGCAGGTATATGATAGGCCTCCTCCGCCAGCTGAGGGAAGGAGTTTGAGGGAGAGACTTTAGGGGAAAGAGATGGGGACTGGTAAGGTGAAAGAGAGGGTGAAGCGCAGGGTGAGTCATAGGGAGAGATTGAGAAGGGAGCCTTGGGAGTAAGAGATGGGGATTGATAAGGTGAGAGGGAGGGAGAAGCGCCGGGATATTCATGAAGCGAGAAGGACGAAGATGCTTTGAGGGGAAGTGGAGGCACCATTGGATTGGATGGGGAGAGGTAGGGTGATAGTGATGGAAAATGAGAGAAATTGATAATTGGAGACGGCTGCATGTAGTCTGAGTCTTCTGGAAGATTCTCTATCACCGGTGGTAGCTGAGCTGTGACTCCATCTTCACTTTGGTCTGGTTCCACCTCTGTTTGGCCCTGCTGAGGGGCGTCCTGACTCGGTTTCTCTTGTAACAGTGATCCATTGGGATCTGCCATACCTTGTGTGTGTTTCTGGGCTTTACATTTTCGTTTGTTTTTTTTTTGCATTAGAGGTGGTGGAGGTGGACGTGCGAGCGGGGGCGACAGCAGGGTCGACGACTCTGTGGAAATCCGAATCTTGAGGCTGCGTTTGAACATGCGCCGTCTACACAAAGCATTCTGGGACTGCAGGAAAAGGGGGTTGACGAAACAGAGATCGCCCTGGCCAGAGCCGTAGTCCAGCTCTACGGGGCTGCGAGTCGTGATTGGACAGAACTCATGGAACAGCGTGGGACTGGATACTGATTGTTTGCTGGCGCTGTCTGGTTTAGTGCTGGTCTTGTCTGAGTCGGGCTGGAGAGCTGCATCAGGCTGAGCTGCAGAGGCTGTCTGAGGGGCCGCAGCAGGAGGGACAGGGGTCCCAGGGTCCTCTTTCACCTTCTTCTGGGGCTTAGGGGCCTCTCGTGGCCCTCTGACATTTAGGTGGGAGTTCCAGAATTCTATAAAATAATACATATTTATTGTCATTATAGTTTTTTGGTTTAATTGCTTTGTGCATATACTTAAACATATTAAAAAATATATATATAACATCTTGACTTTGAAACCTTATTCTAAAAATGGTGCCAGCCAAGAGAATGCAATTGTACATTTTGTGGCACTGCTGTATATACTAAAACTTAACTTGAAGCAACTTTCTCAGTGTGCTCATTTGTCCTTTAGTGGACAAAAGGACAAATGGTATGTTTATTAATGCTTTAGTTCATGTTTGTTACCCAGCTGCTTTGAGAAAATTATAATATTGTGTGCAGTATGTATATTTGATTCTGATATTTCAAGAAATGCTGAAAGGAAACAAGTAGTTGTGTTCACCAACCTATTCCCATATGGGAGATGGACTCCAGCTCTTTGTGGGATGATGCTTTTGCAATTGCTTCTGGAAGCTCCAGGGGAAAGCGTAATACATCTCTGATACACAAATAGTACATCACATTTATTAAACATTGTTGCAGGACAATAAATATTGACAGAGACCAACGCACAGATGAAATGAGGAATACAAGGAAAAAGAGAATGAGGAAGACAAAATATTACCTGCTGACACAGTAGAAGGAAACGAGTCTTGGGAGATCTGGAAAGCTGATGCCTGAAGTCTCCAGAGACAGAGCTGAGAGGAACATTTAAGGGGATTTTTAGAGGGGCAGAACATTATTTGAATGTAGCCATGTGTAACTACTGCGTAACAATGAAGAAAATCTGTGTTAAAGGATCAAACTAGAAGCCTTTCAATTTGATTTATCATACTTTCAATGTTTTATTGAGTTCCTGAATTCCAGGGACTTGCAGGAGGCAAGTTAAATACCTAGTTAAGCCTAGGCCTAGTTAAATACAACAATTTAAATTCTCCATTTTCACTTTTGTAACTGTGAACATGTGTAAACACATAAGCCCTTCTTTAACCAGAGCAAAGTAGTATCTTATTTCATGCAATAATAAAACGATATACGACAACTAGCTTATTCAACCCGAAACATTCTTGAAATGTTAGCGGTGAACTACTAAATTGTGTTCCAAAGAAGGGCCCCAGTCTTGACGGCTTTGTGGTTGGGGTGACCTACTATTACTGGATTCTTGCTGCCTGATGCCAAACTGCTGGACGAAGGATGGCACACTATCATCCGTCAGGCGGACGCACAGCACGTTTCTTTGGGAAGTTCGAGACTTGCGCACCAGGAAGGTCTGCAGGAAAACACAAAGTGCATGCAAATGGTGAGTGTGTATGTGGGCACATGGTGTATTTCTGTGGTTTTAAGTGTGTGTAGCACCGACCCCAGGGGGCTCCCTCTGCAGTATGTGCAGAGCGGTAGCAGGGTTGATGGACAGCTGAAACCACACAGGAACTGTGAGAAGGAGCCGGTCCAGAACACTGATGCTTTTCAGAGAGGCCCTTCCTCTTTGAAGGGCCAATAACTTGTTCTCTGAGTGTTGAGAAGGCTCCGGGAAATCATACAGCGGTTCTTCTTGTGCCATCTAAAACGCACAAAAAAAAAGAACACCCATGGGTATTAATTGTCCTGCTACTGAATGTGGGAATATGCACCCACACGTATATGCATGGTGGTTATTATCTCTCCCTGTGGCTCACATTCACAATGGGAAGATGGGTGGGATGCCTTCACACACACACACACACACACACACACACACACACACACACACACACACACACACACACACACACACACACACACACACACACACACACACACACACCTAATAAATCTGCCTGGATTTGGACAGCAAGTCCAGACTTGGTAAAGTTCAGCAGCTCAGACAGAGCTTAAATAAAACAGGAAGCTACATCAAACAAACTTTTAAGATATCAATACACAAATGCCAATGAAGACGTAACAATATCTTTAAACATTTGTTTTTAGAGTAGCAGGGATATTGTTGGGTGAAGAGAATACCTCAGGGGGTAGTCTATCATTTGCGTTTTGTTTCACCCCATGCAGCCTACATGTTAACATCTGTCTAGAACCGCAGCACACATTCCTGTAAAACTGCACATTTCCTCTCAAAACTGTGATTTACAAAAAGTCTTCCGGCTTCACCTATAATTGCACAACTTGTGTGTACTAGAGTGTCATTTTAATATCGCCAGGCTCGTTTTTTTTTTACCTCGTTTCCCCGATCGTTATTCTCATTCGCTCCGGATCCACTTTATGTTGGCATGCTGGTTTTATTCTTCCTTTCCATTAACTTCACTACGGTGAAAACTTCTCTTCAACTTTAGCCTGTCATGACGTGTGTTCTTCTCAGATGCAGAGATGTCTCTCTCCGGCTCCTCCTCCCCTCCCACCTGATCACACCTGGAAACAAACATGTGACCATGCATGAATGGGCCACAGCTACACTCACGTGCACGAGGCTGTATTATAGACTTAGGCACAAGGAAGTATTTATAGACTAGCTGGAGTTTCATTAAGGTGAAAACCTACTAATAATCATATTTGTAAAAATAACTCGTTAAGCTTAGTACAAGTAGCAAATATTATATTGTAGAAAAACAAGTCATGCATTCTCAATGTTAATTAAGTAAAATAACACACTATATTACCATTAAATTATATTTAAAGTAAAGATAATCATTATGCAAAATGTTAAGCTTCATTACAATATTGGATAGAGTTTGACTAGTGGTTGAATAACTTTGCATAAGGTATAATTATGTATTAAACACAATTGAATTACACTTGTTTGCCTATGTCTTTAGGTATAGCCTATTGTGTGTTGAATTGTTAGAGGAGCCTGCCACTTAAGACGCTGCAGCTTCTGTGTATATGACAAATCAAGCCTTTGAATCAAGGTTGCAGTTACTTAAAGATTTGGCTTTATGTTTGACTTGTGAATTCCTCTTTTGGGATCCCTTTATCAATTTCAATTCAATAGCTTTATTAGCATGACCATATAGTTACATACAGTATTGCCAAAGCTCTGTATAGCTGCAACATCGATACAAAAATACACGCAAATAAACAAATAAACAGTTATAAACAAACTGCTAAGAACATTTTTTTTTTTTACAAGGAATATAGATTCATTTAATTCATAATACATTAATACAAAATAGAATATGACATACATAAGATATATACGATGTGAGGTATTTTTAGTTTTTCATTTTTAAATATTTGAGGATGCTTATGATTCAGTTTTGAGAAGAATTGTTTCCGTATAGGTTCAAAAGTTGGGCATTGTGTGAGGAAGTGCTGCTGTCTCCACAGCAGTTCCTCCACATTTATCATTACGATTGTGCCCAATGAACTGTAACCTATTTAACATTTTACTTAAGTACAGTACTTGAGTTAATGGTATTATAGTCTTAAATAAGTAGTTTTAGTTCTAGGCTAAGGCTTCATCCCCATCTTGCGCAAACCTGATGAAACTGCGCCCTAATGGCTGCCAGCGCACCTAAAGAAACCGGAGCCGGAAGTGACGTTTGAAATATCGGTTAGAGCTCCAGCGCCGCGTTGGGTAAGAATTCTGTTTTTAATGCTATGCTAGCATAATTATAAAAATGTAAAAGGTAAGACGCACAATGATTAATGGTATTTAAAACACTTTACGATGGATCACACCGATGATTGAGCTCTAGCTTAGACAATCGTTTTCAATCACTATGATAGAATCACTACGTTAGCATTAGCTAGCTTAGCGTAGCTACATCGCCAATGTTTGCTTTTCACAAAATGGCCAGCCGTGTCCGTAGTTTTTAGCAAACTGTTGGTCTTGTACAGAAGCTTACATCTTACAATAAAACCAATTATGGGTATTTATTGTAACATAAGCTGTGTTATCGAACAGAACAACTATACAGGAGTATTTTAACCTAATTCGAGGAGATTTCGCCGCAGCTTTATTAGCCTAACGTTTGTTAATATTAACCGGTAAGCTAACGTCAATTAGCTATTTACCAGATTGCAACATAGTAAATCAGAGCTAACCGAATTTGGCAGTATCACTTCAGCCAAATTAACTTAACTATGATCAAAATGCAATACTGCTGTTGAGATTCACTAAGCCTTAGTGGTGTAAAGTAAATGCATTTACACAGTACACTACTTGTATTCAATTATAGTACTTTACTTGAATATTTACATGATTTGCTACTTTGAACTTCTACCCCACTACAATTCAGAGGTTAATCATATACTTTTACTTTTGTACCTTTTAGTTACTTTGCAAATGTTGATTAATAATGATTGCATCAGTAATTTTAATCAAAACGTACTATATAATTGTCTTAAATGGGCCAATCTGCATAATGATTACTTTCACTGTTGATACTTTGTGTATGTTTTGATGCTAATACTTTTGTACTTTGACTTTTGAGTAACATTTCTAATGCAGAACTTTTACTAGAGACAGAGTATTCCCATGCTGTGGTATTACTATTTTTACTTAGGTACTTAGGTATCTGCTAAGCCTGAACGATTACTGCTACCCTAAGTATCACATTTAACCAAAGCCTGCTGCTGTGTTATTATTTTTCTTTCTTACAGATGCCTGGTTGATACAGAGATGAGCGGTGACAATGTGAAGTTGTTTGTGGGGAACCTTCCTTTAGATGCAACGCACGATGAGCTGACCAAGCTTTTTTCTCCGTTTGGAGAGATCAACACCTGCTCTTTGCTCAGACAGTATGCCTTCGTTACCCTGAAGGGAGAGGGGGCCGCAGACAGGTATTTAACTTTTCATTACCACTACTAGATATAAGTCAATATATGCTACTTTAGAAATGCTCTTGCGTTGTCCGGGGTAAAAAAAAAAGTGAATAATTGTTAAGGTAAGTATAGACATTGGTTTATGTAAAAATTTGATACATAATTTTTCAAGTAAAGTATAAAATCCTTTGGAATATAATATTAACAACAGCTAAAATGTCTGCAGTAGTATTCTTACTGTCATTGGCTGATCACCTGGTGACACAAACATATGACTTTCTCTTATTCTCACAGGGCCATACGAAATCTTGATGGCAAAGAGTACAGGGGGCGGCCCTTGGTGGTCGAGGAGTCACGTGCACGTCCACCCAACTCCACCAAAGTGTTTGTGGGGAACCTCGCTGCAACATGTTCAGCAGATGACCTGCACGGGTTGTTCTCAACCTACGGAAGAGTACTAGACTGTGACAAAGTTAAAGGTGAGTTAAAGTGCATATCACTAATACTACAGGGGTATTCATGGAAAGCTTGAGCAATGATGTTGTAGAACAGTGGTTCTCAACTGGTGGGTCGGGACCCAAAAGTGGGTCGCGGACCCGTTTCAAGTGGGTCGCAGATGTGTGAGTGAAGAAAAAAAAATAGAAAAAATATATTTCCTTTTTTCTTTTTGAGGAAAAAAAGTCAAACTTTTATTTTGAAGGCCCGATTTTCTAACGCTGTGCATGCAGTATGCGTTGGACTGAAAGTACCAGAGACCATGAACGGTTATGAAAACTTCTGTCAAGTAGTGATCATCTTCTCAATAAAATATCTTTGCTGATGTTTTTTCGAGTCTTCTGGCCAATCAGAATCAAGATTGTTGCCGGAAGTCCCCACGGAGAATAACTTTGCGGTAGAACTATTCTTTATACACCCATGTGTAAAACTTCAGATACAGATGAGCACATAATGAAATATGACCCCCGGTTTGATGATTGACAGGTCACAGAACAATGGGGGCTATCTACCCTTACCCCCAACCCTCCTCTTTACTCTCCAACCCTCCTCTTTACTCTTCTCGCAGCAAGATGTCAGATCAAAGTGAAAAACAAACAATGGCATAAAATATTATTAATATTTCGGGTAGCAATAGATTTATTTATTTTTCTTCTCAGAGTGTACCAGAATGCATAGTTTATGTTAGTATTTCTAAAAATCTCCTGGGGGAAAATCCCCCCAGACCCCCCTGCTGGGGTTGGGTTTACAGCACGTGTGCCTTTTTATACAATTCAGCTTTGATTCCATCATCTCATTAAACCTTTTTTAAAAGCATACTTTTGTTCTGTGAAGGGATATAAGGGAGATATGCACTGTACTTCACTTTAATTAATATTGTATGCTGAAAAGAGTATATTTTACTGCACGATTTTTTGTTGAATAGATTTGAGTGCTTCAAAATGTCGGGTCGCGATTTATTGACGAAGGAAAAAATGGGTCCCGAGGCCTGACCATTTGAGAACCACTGTTGTAGAAGAATAATTTGTTATGTTTTCTAATGCTACCTGACCGCCCTGCTCTGTGTATTCTCTACAGCCAGATTATGCTCAAATGTTGGCTATGCATTTGTGCACATGGAGAGGAAGGAGGAGGCGCTGGTAGCTATTGAAGGACTCAACGGGACCAATTACAAGGGCCGTCAGTTGGCTGTAGAACTGTCCAAAGCCCAACCTTTGATCAACCAGCTTGCAATGGCTGGAAATAACCACGGTGGATTAGGTAGAGATGAAGGATCCATTTGTTTTCAAGTATTTTACATACATTGAAATGCTGAAAACATCCCATATCCTCTTGTCCTCTCATCTTTTGTGCTCCCTTTTCCTTGCAGGAAGGGACGGTCTTCTTCCACGACCGCCTCCATCACTCGAGCACCACCAGAGTCAAGCAGCTGTTCTAGCAGCAGCTGCAGCAGCCGCAGCTGGACTCCCAATACAAGTACGTTTATTCTCTAGCAGAGAAGCCTCTCTCAAAAACATAAAACTTATGACCTCTGAAAACTGCCCTCGAGGTCTTTCTTACTTGTTTCAACTTGATCAACAATCGACATTTTTCATTATTGTTGTGTTTTTTGTTTAGATAAATTAGGTTTAAGTACATTTGTAATGCTTTATTTTTAATTGTTGACCGTTTTCATATTTTTTTGCAGGTTCAACAAAGTGTCCATAACTCATTCTACAACACCACAACCTTTGACCCCACCTACGCTGCCTTGAAGGGCATTACCAGCGCTAACGGTGCAGATGGGGTGATCTATGATGCTCTTGCCAGCCAGGTATATGGAACTGTTGCGGACCAGGTGTACAAAGATATGTCCAATCACAATTCTGCTGCCGTAGCCCCTGTTACAGAAGCAGACTCACAGAACGGGCCAGACCCCACAACGCTTTTCGAGGCAGCGAGAGCAAAGTTCTTTCAGGAGGGACAGAAGGTATATTTACATTTATTAAGTAATAAGTCAAATCTTCTTCTCTGTATATATCTTTGTGTTGTACCTTTTACAGTTTCATGAATATTCTGTTTTTAATATAGGTTCTGGCAGAGCAGCAGATAGGTAGAAAGGGAGCAGAGAATGAGCGGGACCGCAGCCCAATCAGAGGAAATCGAGCCCCCCTTCTCCCAGACCCCGTCCCTGGTTCCTTCGGTCAGATACGACAGAAGCGCCGCGCCCTGCTGCCGACCCCCGCCGGAGCCCTGGAAGAGTCCCCGGCTGCCACCAACACCCCTGAAGGGTCAGATCCTGTAGCTAGGTACCCATAACACATTTTGATAAAGGAATGAGGCAGAAGAAACATTTGCATAAATAATCCTGCTTCTACGTGTATCTACAATAACTACAATAGTTAAGTAATGTAACACTGATAAAAAAAAAAAAGTCTGAAGCTGTAAAATAAGTGTAAGAGCTCCCAATAGGATATTGTCATTTCATTTAAAAATAAATTATTTAATTTGGACTATATAGCCTTGTTTTTAAATGTAGCAAATGTATCACAATTCATACTATGTTACCTCTCTTTTTAAAGAAGAGTTTGAAAATATAAATTATGGCTCTCAGTGCAGTAAAAAACTAATGGTGGGCAGGAAATAAAGCTAAAAACAAACCGGGTTTGTAGAATCGTACCAAGGCCTTTACAAAAACATAAAAACATGAATTCTGTCTTTTATTAATTTGATGGGAGTTTTTTCTAACTTTTTTTTTTTCTCCTTTCTTCTTCTTCCTTCTCACCTCTTCAACTATAAACTACAGGTCGTACGAAGAGTACTACCAGCAACTGCATCAGTACCAACAGTATCAGCAGTACCAGCAGCAGCAGCAGCAGCAACAGTACCAGTACCTCCAGTATGCCTACACCAACCCACCTCCTCCTCCACCACCTCCACCGGCCACCACACAGGCCTCCACCACAGCCCCTGCACCCCCAGGGACGTACTCTGCGCCCCCAACGTACGCGGCACCGGGGGCCTACCCACCGCCGGGAACATATGACGCGTCGGGAGGTTACGCTGCCCCCCCAGGGAGCTATGACGCGTCTGGAGGCTACGGCCCACCAGGAGCTTACGCTGCAGCGGGAAGCTACTCCACATCCACACCGTATGAGCAGACAGCCGCACACGGGCAACCCATGCCCCAGCGCCATGATTACCCTTACCACACGCCAGAACCCCCTTATCGATAGTCCCACTCCCATACACTCCTTCCACACTGCAGATGTGTGTGTGTGCGTGTGTGTGTGTGTGCATGTGTATCTACATAAGGGACAGTTTAAAAAGGAAAATCAGAGAGGGAGCAAGGTTGTAATTCAGATCTAAAGCATTTTCTCCATCGTTTCTCTAGTCGGTCTGTCAGTTGATTGGTTGTGTGGTTAACTTACAGAGGGACAGCTTATATTTGAACATTGCCAAGCGATCTGGTTTTTGTGAGATGCCATAGAGGCACAGTTGGTTTCTTGTTGGATGTTTAAGAAGCTTAAGCGTTTCATGGGGTGGAGTGGAGTCCAGGGTAGATCTCGTTGGAGAAGCTTTTTTCTTTGTACAGAATCGAGGCCTTTTCATATAATTTACACACAAATGTACACCAAAAAGGTGTTCATGGAAAAGCAGTCCATAAGCCATGCAAAGTCATAGTTTCAAGTAGGGAAAACACTGATAAATTGTTATGGAGAATGTTTGTCTTTAGTTTCAGGCTGGTTTCACAGTAAGGACAGGTTTAGTGCTCGTCAAGCAATCCTAAGTAAAGATATTGATATTTTTTATTTTAGTTCATTGAAATCTTCATAAATATCCACAACTCTTAAATTGACAAATGAAATTGATTGATAGCCCAGGCTATTTAGAAGTCTAGACACCCTCAGGAGTTAAATACATGCATCCTGTCAGGGTTTGACACCAAAACATTGGAAAATAATATCTAAATATCTTTCTAGTCCTTAACCTTATTTGCTTTCCATGTCAGTTGTGTGTATACATGCTACTGGAGCACCATGGGAGAAAAGAAAGCCCAGTGCATACATGTTTCTCTTTATTCAGGTAATACTCAGTTAAACCATACATATTTAAATGTGTAAAGGCCAGAATTACAGCAAGCTTTGATTGGCTGATGATGGATATGAGCATTATCAATTCTATAATTCCTGATTGGTTTATAACTTTTAATGTTATTAACTTTTTTTCCAATATCATCAGCTCAGTAGTTTTCATACATGGAAATTCACAATTTGGTACTTTTGTAAATACATACAACTTTGTTTTAAGTGGAAGGGGTAAAGCCAACTAGCATTTGGTTGATTGGTAAGAATATTGACTATTTATATTTGAGATAAAATGATTGTATTTCTAAACCAGTTGGAATAGTGAATAGACGTGGTGAAGGAAGACGGTTGAGTTGTGTTAGTCTGTTTAAAAAGGACTGAAACCTAAAGCATTACTGTTATCCGATTACAGTCCTGATTGGTATTCGACCATTGTGGCTTGTGAGTGTATAACTAATTACGCTCCAAGATCAGACATTGCATACAATTAGAAATGATTTGATACTCCTATAATGCGTTGTCATGTTGCTGAAGTGAATCGTGTGGGTTATTGACAAGAGTGGACAGTGTTGGTGCTGCAGGTAAACACAAGGGTTGTTTTGGATTTAGTAAAGGCCGCTGGTTTTACTGAGCAGCAGTGAGAAGGGGCCGCTTCCCTTTCCCTTTCCCCCTTCTGATCTCACCAGAAACACACACCTCATTTTGAAACTAGGAGTACTGGCTTTCTCTGCATTCTTGCCACACTACACAACTTCACACTTGTATTTAGATGCATTTTAAAATGGGTTCATTGCATTTTACTCATGTAAAGCAGGCCACACGTGCAAATGATACTAATGCACACCTGATTGCAGCTGTATGTCATGTGACTTAAGAGTAGAACGGTTTGTGATTGTACCACACACTCATTTCTTTATCGCCACCTGACTTGGTAGTGCTGTGTTAGGTTTAAGTGACACATAGCCTCTCTAAATTTCCACATAATTCCACCTTCTCCATGTGAACTGTTAGTTGCATGCCTTGTTGTTGCTGCTGCTCCAGCCACCTTCTTCCTCTTGCTGATTATTGCAGCTAGAGTGGGAGGGAGCCAAACTGAGCCCTTGCCCCGGACGTACGCCACACGCAGCTGTAGCGTGGGATGGGAAAAACAGCAGCGTTAGGCCTGAAACTGCTGTGGACGATGGGGTCCCCCCCCCACTAAGGTAAACACTCAGACCACACACTTCTGTCCCTCCCCAAAAACACACACACACACATACAGAAACATCTTTGTCCATACTTCTTTTACCTTGCCTGTCTTCAGGGAGTTTTGTTTGTCAGGATTTCAGATTTTTGGAAATGGATCTCCCCCCTCCTTTTTTAATAGGAGATTACCTTTTTTTCCCCTGCTTTTGATATCCCTGATCATATCCCTGCTTTAGGATACTATGCTCATACATTCCTGCTCCCGACATACTGACCGCTCACACACAGCAGATTTGGAGGACACGTTAACCATCTTTTAGTCTAAATCTGAAGCAGGCATGTCGTCAGTACATCCTGAATATAACAGCCTGTCATTGAACTACCAGGCAATCACAGCCAGAGCTGGACGTGGGAAATTTAGGTAGGATGGGTTGTTTTAGTTTTTGTAAATGTGCCCCTGCGGCCACTTTGGGGTTAAGTGCCTTGCGTAAGAGCACATAGGTAAACCCTTCATTTCAGAGTTGAATAACCTGGCTCAGGATCGGTTGCTGGTTCAACGCTCAACTCCCCCCTCTCCCCTAAAACAAAGTTTTTTGATGCCACATTCAACTTGTATGAATGACAATGAACACAGATATTATCATTTTGTTTTAAATTACATTTTGTCCTTATGTTCTTGGAAATGTTTAATTATCAATAAATACATTTGAACTGACTTGTAGCCTCTCTGTGTGAATATTTAATGTGTTACCAGCTTATTCAAGTATTTTAATGTTTTTAAGTGTTTGTTGAATAGTCACCAAATAACTATAAGAGCTCAGCATCAGATGACGTTTTATTCCATTTTCTTCCAAAAACATCAACCTATGCTTTTAAAATAAAAAACAATAAATTTGATAACAATCCAAACTTGTTGGTAATTCAATCACTTTGATATACAAAAAGAAAAAGAGAAGAAATTCAAGAAATGGAACCTCCCTCCCTGCTAACGACATTTTCATGGACACTGCTGAGTTTCATGCCCTCAACAATCAACAGTTCACAGATGGACACTAGAGTACAGGATGTGCGTAGTGAACGCAGTATACACAATACTGAGGGTATACTGAGGTTATGTGGTGAGTGTGAAACTGCATAGACATCATGTGCCTTTCCCTGGCCAAACAACGCGGAAATGCAGTTTCTGCTCTGAGTTCAAGCAATTCTGGTTTCCAGACGCCGGATTTTCATTGAAGTAGCTTCAGTGTCTATATTTTGGCGTTCCCTGTTGAGTATCTGCAAATACTTGAGCCAGTCGATAAGGTCATGAGAGTCTATGATGGAAAACACTATAAGCAACCCAATGAAGTTTAGCTACTAGGTCCTTAATGTAAAACTAGAGTGTAGTGTAAGTATTGTGTGTTCTGTAGATTGTGGAGTGGAAGATGTACTTTCTCTAACATACTCACCTGTTTAAGCTAATCTTCTTAAAATATGCTTTAAGGGAATCCAACCCCAGATTAAATATTACAGTTTCTGTCTCTCCCTAATGCTGTTTCCTTTACATTAATTTAGCATGGGTGAAAATGTAAGGATAATTAAAGTAGTGCCTGTGTGTTGGCCGAAGTATACAGACTCGTAACTGACAGACATTTGGGATTCTGTACCCATCTGGAATTGGGTTAGAAACCATGTCATAGATCTCATAAACAAGGTCTGTACACTTTAACCTGGTTTGCTAAAATACTCTCAAAATAAAGCTGAAGCTATCTGTGAATCCAAGCCTGGTATCAGGAAACCAGTCCGTGCTTTCAGAGGATGACTGGGAAAGAATAAGTCCAGTTGATGGCGACAGACAGGACAAGACTGGGCAAACACGTTAAAAACACCACACAATGTTGACCAGACCAAACACATAGTACAGTACTTAGACTTTCAATCACAACCTCCAGTGATGCTGCTGGCATAGTATGAAAAAGGAGCGAGCATTCAAACACACGTATTGAAAATAGCAACGCTTTAATAAAGAGCGATTTTACAAGACTGCAATGTCTAGCTAGCTAGGTGATAACTGGCATTGACATCCATGGTGTTTTACAAAGATGCAGTTATGGTAACTGGGTTTGAAGTTTGATGGGTTACTTGCAAGTTGCATTTCTGCATGCGACTCAGCCTTCAAACAGTTACAGACCCTACATTGTAAAACAGTTGATTATGAATGTCAATAAACGTTCATGTCAAGAGGTAAGTAAAAAATCTCATGGAGAAATTTCCTTAACGTTTTCCAAACACACCGGTAAGTGAGAGTTCACACAATGGTCATGCTTTTACCGGGCACACAAGCCAATAAAAAGACGACACTTAATCATGCAAAAAAGACAGTTTCTTTGTCTCTAAAAATAAAAGAACAAAATCCTTTTGAGTTCTGATATCATCCATCCGTAGTGACCTTGAATAAGAAGAAGCTGCGCTTTGATGATGACTTTGGTGCAAAAAAATGTTCCTGTTTCGAAGAGGACAGACCCTGTCCTGTCCACTTCCTCGATGAAGACACTCTTGGTATAGACCAGTTGTGATAGTTTACCCTCGACCCCCCCCTCCNAACTCTCTGGTCTTAGCCACATTCAGAATCAGATGATTTATACCAGTCCAACTCCAATCTTTCTTTTTGTGTAGATGCTATCTGAATGAATACTATACCTTGTGTTACATTGAATTCTTAAAGAAAATGTAATTGTTCCAGCATTTTCTCGATGTCGAAATGAGAACCATGAAATGGGTAAAAGCAAATGGAGGTTGTAGGAAGCATGAGACCTTAGTGGAGTTGTAAATAGTAGGGTTTAATTAAAAACTATCAAAACTCAATACCTAAATGATTAAACTGCATGAGCTGTGTCAGAGTTTGTTAATGTTTTGATCGCTATTGTTAAACCTAGCCTCCATATCATTAAATGAATCAAGGATATGTTATGTTTTTCTCCCTTCACCCTGGAGGAATGCAATAGAAAACGAAGTATTCAAGGTACAACTTTGCGAGTAAATTATAAACTGTACAAATGGAAATTTTCTTTGGTATTCATTTGAGTCTTTTCCCCTTTTACTGGTATGGCAATCATATTTTGTGAGGAGCAAGCACAAAAGGACAGGACCTTCCTCCTCGCTGCATTCGCCAGCTCTTTGAAAAAGGCTGTACAATAGTGGTTGCTTAAGTTTGTGATACATTCATTCTTGCTGTGATTCATGAAGAATGGTGTGTTTCTCTCCCCCGCTGAGTGGAAAGTAGAAGCCGACAATGGGCTTATATGAGGTGTTCAGGGCCAATGACGCACATGCCGTTAAGGTGATGCTATTTGTCTGAGCTTCTCGATGATTGTGTTTCCCCCCCCTACTTCTCAGGTGAATGAGATTTACCACGACGAGTCGCTGGGAGTCCACATCAACGTGGTGCTGGTGAGGATGATCATGCTGGGGTACGCCAAGGTGAGGCTCACACTCCGTTTATGTTGATTTGCACCAAGAATGTAAAGCATGGTGAGGGCAATATGATTTGTATGCGAGATAAGTTTTACTGTAGCTCAGAGACAAAACATGTTCCTCCTCACTGCATTGATTTTGATAACATCACACAGAAGCTTTAGTCTCAGTCTTCATAACAGGACTGCAACTTCTGAGATTTGTTTATCATTCCACCCAGTGATTGTTTTAAAAAAGAAACTGTCATCACAATATTTTTATTTGTACAGCCAAAGGTATTCTGCTCTCACTATGCAGTACAGAGCCACCACACTTCAAATTAGTTTGAGTGTAGTAGTTCCATCTATCCTTTCTGAGATTAATAGGCCTCAAAAGTATTGTAGTTTAAGTGCAGTACTGCATAACACACAATGACTTCAATACACCCAGGTGTTTTCTTAAAGATAAATTATGCCTGTTGGGTTTTTACCTTCCCTGCAGTGTGATATATATGTCTTTGTACATATAAAGGGTGTGTAAATGCTAAAATCCCAAAGTTCCCTCAAGAGGGAGTTTCTCTCCCACACGCTCTCCCCCATGCAAACGCCTCCATAGGACTCTTGGTTTACAGCATTGTAAAGGACAGACACACAAATGTCTCTTCTGTGCTACATAACTAATAAATACAGAGGCATAGTCAATTAGCAAAAATGATCCCTTTGTTGTCGATTAACTTGATTGATCTTTTTTAGACCAGTTATGAGAATAAACATATAGATATGGATTCTTTTTTTTGCACAAATCACCCTAAACGTTGGCCAACAAGTTCAAGATTCATTTGTAGAAGTTGTTGCTACAGGTCAGCAAAATTCCCCATTCTACCTCCCCACTCTCTGTCCACAACAATGTGTTGTGTTTTCTGCGAGGAAACAAAAGCTTTGAGCCAGAGGTGAAGCGTCAACCCATCATCTCTGGCTGTTAGAGCAAACAGTAAGCAAAAGAAAAGCACACAGTGCCTCAGTGGGATTAAAGGCTAACGTTTCATCCCAGTAGAACAAAAACAAAAACAAAACTTTGGCAAAAGTCATGAATTTTCTATTTTTTGTTATCTATTCTCATTTATGTAGTGCTCTAGAGCCTCTGGTCTGCTATTAATAATCTGCTGTCCTGTGCAACATCACAGTGATACCAATTACAAAAAAAAATATTATTATTATTTCTAGTGACACAGCCAAAGCCATTATTATTGTGGCATTGATTATAAATAGTGAAGAATACTGTCAGGTTTTTGTTACACATACTCTAAAAATACATTATTTGTGATCAACTGGCCGTTTTACCATATGGCGGATGAGAGCAAATTACCTTTTGCTTTCCACTTTCATTATCACCCCAGAGCCCACATCTAAAATATGTTTAAATTGAATGCTATGCTTTCCCGATCGAATTACCAATATATACAGTTTTGTGCTGCTGCCAGTATACTAACATGTTCATTTACACGGCTACAAGGTTCATCGGTAAGTGTTTCAATCTCTTTCTCGCTCTTTCCTGTCAGTCCATCAGCCTCATTGAAAGAGGAAACCCATCGCGGAGCCTGGAGAATGTGTGCCGCTGGGCCTTTGTGCAGCAGAAAGGTGACCTTGATCACGCCGAGCACCACGACCACGCAATTTTCCTCACTCGCCAAGGCTTCGGCCCCACGGGGATGCAGGGTAAGGAGCCTGGAAGACACAGTAACATTCAAATAAGCCATTTTGCCCTGTACACTGTTACCAATTTAAACACAGCTACAGAAGGTTACCCATGAAATACACACACACACATCATCAACCTGTAAAATGTGTTCTGTGGTTTATTCTGACATGAGTCACACTTATACTGCCCTTCGATTTAAGCCGAATTCACAACATCTGGAAGCAAAAATGTCTGAGGGCTTCTTAAGATTTAATAAACTATGAATGTTTCATATCCATGTAACGGGAAGAAACTCAGCTAACTGGTCTTTTTTTTCCCTCAAAGCTACGCTGAGCCTCTGAATTAGCCACGGGCAAAAAAATATTAAGGCCGTTAGCACAGAATTCTAGCTATACCGATCGATAAATGTATTGGATCTGCACAAACAAGCTTAGATAACATCCTGAGATTCCACAGATTATAAAAATATATAAGGACCATCACTGAGCGATCTGAACTCGTGACAGGGGAACAGTGGCGGTTCTACGGGGTGGCACGGGGTGGCAGCTGCCACCTCAGAAAAATGCCTTGCCACCCCAGATGCCACCCCAGTTGGCAGCTTTGTTTTGAAAGAAAAGTTGTGGCTCATCGCACATTTATGAGAGAAAATCTCTAATGTCCGAGTGCAAGTGAATGCAGCACAAGACGCGAGCCTTGTAACCCCTCCCCCGGCCCTGGCGCGAGCCTGGAAATATGATTGGCGGCGATTTCATTTGAACGGGGGGACAGCGCAAAGCGAGTAAGTTTCTCTCGTCGTAAATCGATAATACGGGGCTGTTAGACATTGTTTGATGGGTTTAGTACGTGCAGCGTCTTTGCGAATGATAAAAATTTTACCTCTGATTTTTGTATAGAGAAACGGCGACGAAAATTAACTCGACGAGTATAAGCGTGATGTCATACGGAAAATTTGTACATAAGCATATGGACACCACAAATAAACATAATAAATAATAGAGAACGAAACATTACAGACAACATTTTTACTGTAATATATACACAAAAAATGACCATACATAAGGATTTTTCAGAAAATTAAACAAAACATTTCGTGAACCTTAACAGCGCATGTCCTTTTCACGATATATTTATTTGAACGGAACAGAACGTCGGTATGGACTGTCCGGAGAAGAGACAGTGACATCTGGCGTTTTATGGAGTAAGGAAGGGCAGATGAACCTA